GATTCCCTGGTGTTCCCAGGATCCCAGGTGTTCCCAAAATCCCTGGTGCTCCCAAAGTCCCCGGTGCTCCCAGAATCCCTGGTGCTTTTGGAATCCCTTGGTGTTCCCAGAATCCCTGCTGTTCCCAGAACCCCTGCTGTTCCCAAAATCCCTGCTGTTCCCAGAACCCCTGCTGTTCCCAAAATCCCTGCTGTTCCCAGAATCCCTGCTGTTCCCAGAATCCCTGCTGTCCCCAGAATCCCTGCTGTTCCCAGAACCCCTGCTGTTCCCAAAATCCCTGCTGCTCCTAGAATCCCTGCTGTTCCCAGGACCCCTGGTGCTCCCAAAATCCCTGCTGTTGCCAGAATCCCCTGCTGTTCCCAGATTCCCTGCTGTTCCCAGATTCCCTGCTGTCCCCAGATTCCCTGCTGTTCCCAGGACCCCTGGTATTCCCAAAATCCCCGGTGTTCCCAGAATCCCTGCTGTCCCCAGAATTCCCGCTGTTCCCGGCTCACCTTGGAATGCCGGTTGGGGGAATCCTTCCCGCTGGGCTCCTGCCGGCCCGGCCGCTTCCCGCCGGGCAGCCGGGCCTGTGCCGGGACGTGCCAGAGGGGCTCTGCAATTCCGGAGGTGCCGCGTCACCGGGACGACCCCGGACGCGCGGGGCCGCATCCCGGGGGCTCTCCCGCCATTCCCCGGGCCATCCCGGGGGCTCTCCCGCCATTCCATACCCGCCTTGTGGCGCTCCATGGTGCCCTCGTGGCTGCTGATCCCGCCGGACGACGAGTCGTCGTGGCTCGAGTGGCCGGAGTGGCCGGAGTGGCCGGAGTGCGGGGTCGCCCCGTACCTGCCCCGGGAAAGGCGGGAATGGCGCCTCACGTCCCAAAAAAATCCCGGTGTTCCCCCCCCCCGACTCCCCGGATCTCACCTCTCCGGGGAGGGTTTGTACCGCGCGTAGGCCGCGCCGGCGCTTCCCGGCGCCGAGAAGCTTCCGGAAGGTTGCCGGTAGGGCTGTGCCGGCGCGGCGCCGGCGGCGGCGGGGGCGGCGTGGGGGGTCTCCGGGAAGCTCAGCGGCCTGGTGGGAAAACACGGGGATGTGGTGGGTTGGGAAAACACGGGGATGGGGTGGGTTGGGAAAACATGGGGATGTGGGTTGGGAGAACACGGGGATGTGGGTTGGGAGAACACGGGGATGTGGTGGGTTGGGAGAACACGGGGATGGGGTGGGTTGGGAAAACACGGGATGTGGTGGGTTGGGAAAACACGGGGATGTGGTGGATTCTCCATCCCTGGAGGTGTTTCAGGACAGATTGGATGTGGCATCAGTGCCATGGGCTGGGAACCACGGCGGGGTTGGATCCAGGGTTGGACTGGATGATCCCGGAGGTCCCTTCCAGCCCGGCTCATTCCGGGATTCTCTGAGGGAACTCCGGAGCTCTCCCGGTGCCGGTGCCCCCCCTCCCTCCTCACCTCTTGCCGTGGGGCGGCGGCGGCTCCCGGTGCGGCGCCGGCGGCGCTTTGGCGCGTTTGGGCGCGGCCGGGCCGCTCCACTGCCAGCCGGCGCTGCTCCGGAACGGCGGCCGGAACGCCGGGAAGGGCTCCGGGTCGGCTTTGGGCTCCACGGGGCACGAGCCCAGCTCCAGGGATTCCGACCAGCCCCTACGGAGAGAGCGGGAGTCACGGGCAGGGCTGGCACGGGGATGGCACCGATGGCACAGGGATGGCACCGATGGCACAGGGATGGCACCAGTGGGACAAGGATGGCACCGATGGCACAGGGATGGCACCAAGACACAGGGATGGCACCAAGGGCATAGGGATGGCACCAGTGGGACAAGGATGGCACCAAGACACAGGGATGGCACCAAGACACAGGGATGGCACCAAGGGCACAGGGATGGCACCAGTGGCACAGGGATGGCACCA